TATTGTGATCCATCACTCTGTCAGGGGACCTAATTGGCTTCAGCTTAATATTCTCTAGACTCACATATCGATTTGTATGTGATCTCTGTGGTTTTTTTTTAAACATCAGAAATTTATTAGTTGCTCAAAACATTATATTGATCTTGACATATCATATATCATATATTTGTTTCAAATGGGGTATGAATTCCTATTATTTCCACGTGTACAGATTGCAGGATCACATTGATTATACAGCCACGTTTATACATACTGCCATACTAGTGTCTGTTGTATTCTGCTGCCCTTCCTATCCCCCCCTCCCCTCCCCTGATCTCTGTGTTTAATATACATTTACTATAAGCAGTATTAACAAGAGTGAAATTGCTGATCGGTGCAGTCATTTTAATAACCATATCTTATTATTAACAGTTTGGCAGTTTGAACTGGAGGCTTTTACATAGTAGGTTTAGTAGAGGTGCAGTATAGTATGCTGATCAAAAGCAGGGCCTGTGGAGTCAGACTGCTTGGGTTCAAGTTTCATTTCTGCCACTTATTTATACTGCAAAAATGGTGCATTATAAAAAATTAACATCTCTCTATCTCACTTTTCTCATCTGAAGAATGGCTATAGTAACTATTTCACAGATATGTTAATGAAATGAATTAATAAATATGTGGCACATAGGGAAGTTCCTGACACATCTTAAGAGCTATTTTTAACCTTCACAGAAAACAGTGAAGAGTTATTACCCCATTTTGCACATTAGGAAGCTGAGACTTAGGTTCAGCAATTTGCCTAGTCCCTCAGAAGAATTGTAATTCAGACCTAGTCCTGTTGAATTCAGACAGTAAGACATTTAATTAAATGTTATTCTGTGCTGCTCATAATTCTCAAAATAAACTACATTGTCAATCAGTGCTTAGAATGTATTTAGATAGGCATAGTGGTGCGCCCCCATAATCCCAGCTACTTGTGATGCTGAGGCAGGAGGATCAAAAGTTCAAGGCCAGCCTTGCAATTTATCAAGACCCTGTCTCAAAATAAAACAATTCTTTTAAAAAGGGTGGTGGTGTAATTCAGTAGTTGAATACCTTTGTGTTTAGTACCAAGTACTGAAAAAAATTTTTTTAGAGTGTACTTAAACTCTTAGAGTTGTTAAAATGTAGGGGCTGGGATTGTGGCTCAGCGGTAGAGCACTTACCTAGCACGTGCAAGGCCCATATAAAAATAAGATAAAGATATTGTATTCAACTACAACTAAAAAATAAATATTTAAAAAATGCAGTAAAACTCTTCTGTGTAGATGTTTATAATGGGCATTCTGGGCTAGAAGTCAAAAGATTATCTGATTATGAATTTTTTTTGCAGTACTGGGGATTAAGCCCAGTAGTGCTCTACCACAGAGCTACACCCCAGCCCTTTTTATGTAAATTTTTTAAAAATTAAAAAAAATTTAAAAATTTGTTCTAATTATACATGTTGACACTTTGTACACAAATAGAGCATAACTTCTCATTCCTCTGGCTGTACATGGTGCAGAGACACACCAGTCGTGTAATCATACATGTATATAGGGTTAAATTTTTTAAAGTTTTGAGACAGAATCTCTTTAAGTTGCCAGGCTGGCCTTGAACTTTTTTTTTTTTAAGTTGTAGATGGACACAATACCTTTCTCTTATTTGTTTATTTATATGTGGTACTGAGGATCAAACCCAGGGCCTCACAGTGCTAGGCAAGTGCTCTACCACTGAGTCACAACCCCAGTCCTCCTGCTACAGCCTGAGTTGCTGGGTTCACAGGCTTATGCTACCACGTTCATCTTGGTTATAATTTTGAACAAATAATATATCTGCTTTCTGCAGGTCTCAAAGTAAAGGATTTATATGTGATGATTTTGAAAAGCTCTTTCATCTCAGGTTTTGTGGTTCATACTTAATTATTTTTTAATCTAATTAAAAATTTTCCCACTTTTTATTGGTGCATTATAATGATGGGATTTGTTGTTACATATTTGTACTTATACACAATATGACAATATAATTTAGCCAATACCACTCCCCAGTACTTCTCCCTCCCTCCCCTTATACTTATTTAAAACAAGAAATTTTCCTTTTTACAAAAGCAGTGAACTCTGAAAGTAATTAGTCAACTCTGAAGGTTTTCAATGAACAGAAGAACTATACAATGAGTAAAATAAAAATATTTTTCATGATGTAATTAAATATATTTTGCATATTTAAAACTAGATGTATAATTGACATTAGATTATACTTTCTCTCATTGGTGGAAATGTGAACCTTATAATCTTGGAATTTTGTAAGCTATCCTTTTTTTTTGTGAGAGAAAATGACACTTAGCAATCTTTTTAACTAAACAAAGTCTTTATTTATCTTGTAAATCTCTTTTCAGTGCAAAGAGATGCTTAGAGAAGAGATTAACCTGAGCATCTTTTCCCTAATTACAGAGATTAGGAAGTGGCTGCCTGAATTATTTTCCAAAGGATAAACATTACAAATAATTAAAAACGCAACTCACCAGAAGATCCTTTTGATTTGGGGGTAAGTAATTCTAAAAGTTACCTTTTCCTTTAGAATGTCCCATGAATATTCTTCACTTGGGAGGTATGGCTCTCTGGAGATACCAGCTAAGAATCCAATCATATTTAAGCACAGCCAGTCCATTTATAGCACCTGCAATTTCCCATGACCTAGATCTATGGGTGGCACATCTTTTTAGTTGGATGATAATGTCGAAAAATGGGTTAGACTGGCAGATAGGAAGCCCTGCACCCTCTGTCTATGAACAATACAACATTCCAAGCTTTTGGGAAACTATTCTGAAATTTTTAAAATCACATCTTGTGATCTATCATTTAGAATCCTAGAATATCTGAACTAGAAGGGACTGTGTAGATTCACTACTTCTCAACAATTATCTTTGTTGTATTGGTGAGCCTCATGGGATACAGAGATGAATAATCAGAGTCTTTCTTTTTTTTTTTTGGTTCTGGGAATTGAACCCAAGGATGCTTAGCCATGGAGCCACATACCCAGCCTTTTTTTTTTTTTTTTAATTTAGAGGCAGAATCTCACTGAGTGCTTAGGGCCTCACTAAGTTGCTGAGGCTGACTTTGAACTCGTGATCCTCCTGCCTTAGCGTCCTGAGTTGCTGGGATTATAGGCATGTGCCATCACCCAGCAGAGTCCTCCTTCTTATAGAGCTCATAGTCTACTAAAAATCATTTAGTCTAGTGTCCTGATTTTTTAAATGAGGAGGATGAGGCACAGAGTGAGAACTGCAGCCACTGAAGGACACATGAGATGAGACAGAGTTGGAGCCAGAGCCCAGGGCTCTTGATGCCACACACACTGTTCTTGCCACTGCATTGCTAGTGTCTAGTTACCTTCTGTACTAGTTACCTGTTCTTCTCAAGAGATCAGTTCTGACAGTGCCTCAAAATGTAGGCTGAAGTTCTTCTGGAAAACTCCAGTTTTTAAGGTAATGGTGTGAATGAGAATTCTTAACTTGGTGACTTTTAGATGCTCCGTGCAGCCTGTTCTTCCTAGAGTAGGCTGCTGGTGCCCATAAGAAACTCATCTCTTATTCTGCAAGCAGAACCCCAGAAGAAACGGGCAGTGGGCATTCTCACTGCCCCATTTACTCCCCTTAGCCTTCCGGCATCTCAGGGGACAGATAGTTATAGAGGACATGGGACCTGAAGCAGCTGAAATTAGCCCCATGTCAGAGTTCTTCAGTCCCAATGAATGTTCTTACTGGTCACATCTTTGGCGCAATCTCTCTCTCCCCCTCTCTATTTCCCTCCCCCCATCCCTCTCTTCCTCTGATTCACCAGCATGAGTAAATTAGGTGCTTACAGAGTATTTCTGAGTGAAGGACTGGATGGGCATCTTTGATTGCATTATTTATTTTTTTTTCTTTTTAGTTCTGGCCTTGTTAGTTGATGGGAACAATGTAAATAAATCTGAAAAACAATTATTGCTTTTATTCTTTATGACTAGTACAGGTCATCCTATATTAACATGATTCAATTTCTAGATCTGTTGTTCTCAAACTTTTGTCATCAAGTCTCCTTAATACTCTTTTTTAAAATTTTAAAATTTTATTTTTTTATTTATTTGGTACCAGGGATTGAACCCAGTTTTGCTGAACCATTCAGCCATGTCCCCAGCTTTTAAAAATATTTTATTTAGAGACGAGGTCTCGCTGAGTTACTTTGGGACTTCTCTCAGTTGCTGAGGCTGGCTTTGAACTTGTGACTCTCCTGCCTCAGCCTCCTGAGCTGCTGGGATTACAGGTGTGCACCACCATGCCCAGCCTCTTTACACTTTTAAAAATCATCAAGGACCACAAAGAAGTTTTGTTTATGTAAGTTATAGATTGGGTTCAGGTTCCTGCTTGTCCAACCTCTTATTGATATGAAAACTGATAAATTTCAAATTAGAATACTTGTCTAGCATCTCAGGTGTGATTCCTCAGCCCCACAAAACAAAAACAAAGTCTAACAACAAAAAACCTATTACTCGTTAAGATGAATAATATAATTTCATGAAAATAAACTTTCCCAAAAAATTTAGTAGGAAAGAATGGTATTGTTATAATTTCTTTGAAATCTCTTTAATATTTGGCTTAAACAAAGACAACTAGATTCTCGTATCTGCTTCTGCACTCAGTCTATTGCAATATATTGTTTAGGTTGAAGTATGAAAGGAAAATCATGCCTCACACAGACAGCTGGAGAGAGGGGGAGGACCCCTGGACTCCTTAAAGAACCAGAAATCCCCCCTGGTCCCCAGATCACACTTGGAGAACTGCTGGTCTAAGTCATTATCTATATTGTCTCAGTGTCATCATCTCTAGCATCTCATTACAGAATAATTTCATGATCTTTTATGCTGATTTAAGTACCGCAGTGAAATTATTTAAAAACAGTTCAGCATAAGAAGGGTTATAACTTTTTAGAATGTCCAAAGCTCTTCTCTTCCAAGAAGCTTCACTAATATGGATTTAAATTTTTTTTTCATTACATGCTTAGTATTTATCTTATTGTGATAGAGTGTACATAACATAAAATTTACCATTAGTGACATTTAGTACCCAGACAGTGTTGTGCGACCATTACTATGGTCTACGTTCCACAACATTCTCATCACCCCCAAAGGACACCAGACCTATTGTTCTCTCCTTGTCTCAACTCTTGGCAGCCACTAATCTGCTTTCTGTTGCTGTAATTTGCCAACTGTGCATACTTCACGTAAGTGGAATCATACTTTGCATGATACTTTGAAGGTTCCCTTTTGCTGTAGCATGTGTCAGTGCTTCATTCCTTTCTGTGTCTGAATAATATTTCATTATATGGGTAGACCACATTTTGTTTATCCACTCATCCCATTGATGAGTTTTGTCACCTTTTAGCTATAGTGAACAGTATTACTGCCATGAGCATTGGGTACCAACTTTTGTGTGAACACCAGTTTTTAATTCTTTTGGATTGGAATTGCTGAATCATAGGGCAATTTTATGTTTAACTATTGAGGAACTTCTTAATGTTTTTTTAAAACTAATGCATGAAAACAAAAATTGTACATGTTAATGGAGTACCATGTAATGTTGCAATACATGTATACATTGCATAATATTTAAATCAGTTTAAACATAATTCTTAAGTGTTTTTAAAAGTTGGTTTTGTTTTTGTTTCTCTGCTAATGGTTTGTTGGCACCTGTAATCCCTTCAAAGTAAAGCAGGAAAAAGAGGAAAAGCACATGCATTCAATTAGTCTTTTTTGTTTTAAAATAATTTCACATAACCATTCTACTGTTGTTGTGCCTAACAAAATTAACAGTACACATTCTTCTTTTTACTAAACAGGAAACACAACTTCCATCAACCACAAGGGATGCTGCTACTCAGATGCCACCTGAAACACACTCCTCTTTCTCAGGCTTCGTGTGGGCTCTGTGCCATAATGGGGAAACTGCAGAGCAAACTCAAACACAGCAGTTACAAATACAGGTACAGCAGTCTTCCCTAGGGTTCTTTTATTTTGGGCAGTTCTGAGTATTGAACCCAGGTTCTCACACACACTAGACAAGTGCTTTACCGCTGAGACAGGATCTCACTAAGTTGCCGAGGCTACTCTTGAATTTGCGAATCTCTTGCTTCAGCCTCCTTGGTCGCTGGGATTCCAAGCATATACCACCGTGGCTGACTTGGGGTCCTTAACTTTATCATGCCTCCATTAAACTCAAGAAAGAGAACAAGGTTACCCCAATAAATTAACGAGCTTAATAATCATCCTTTAACAATGAGAACATAATGAGAACATTAAAATAAAGAGTTCAGAAAATACAACATCCATCCATATTTATTTGGGAACAAAACAAAAAAAGAAAGAAGAAATAAAAAGGGAACAAAGTTAATGACCTTCCCTGAACTGTTTGGTCTGTTTTCTTTTAGCTAAGAAATAGCTTATTAGCTAATATCTGCACCCATTAACGGGGGTGGTGGTGCAGAATAGCCTTTGGGATTTGTGGCTAGTGTGAGCAGACTCCTGACTTAGGATTCCTTTATCAGATTTCAATCACTGAGTCATTCTGAGCATTGTCAGAATTCACAGGGAGGCAGTGTCAGTGTTTCCTTTCCCTTTATCCATCCCCTCAGCCTGCCTGACTTGCTACTGTCGCTGCTGCTCCCTGTCCATCCCAGCATTAGGCCTCTCATTTTCCACCTCTCTTTAGCAGGCCTGACGGAATCATGGAAGAGAGAATTCAAACTAAAGCTTCTCAAGAGTATAGCCCCGCTCACGTGGACGCTGTCTCTGCTGTTGCTGCTCTGAACTCAGACCTTTGTATCTCTGGAGGAAAAGATAAGGTGAGGTCTGCAGCATTTCCAAGGAAGACAACTCATTTCAGGAGAGGAAAGATACTCAGAAAATCTAGGTTTTCACTTCATTTCTGGCAGCCAGGCTATTAGTGTAACTGTATGGGCTTAAAGTTAGAAGGGCTGGGTTTACACACACCTGCAACCCCAATGACTTGGGAGGTTGAGGCGGAGGATTGCAAGTTTGAGGCCAGCCTCAGCAATTTATCAAGGTCTTAAGCAACTTAGCAGTGAGACCCTGTGTTAAAATAAAAAAAAAATTGAAAAGGCTGGGGATATGGCTCAAATGTTAAGCTCCCCTGGGATCTGGTGCCCCCCAAAAACGATTGGGTGTAAATCCCTGCTTTGCTTCTATAACTTTAGGTAAGTCTAAATTTTCTGAGCTTCAGTTTCCTCATCTGATAAGTGTAGATAATATCAACCTCACTGGATGATTGCGAGGATTAAATGAGAGACCATAAGTAAGATCCTTAACACTCTGCCTGACATGACCACCTGCATGACATTTCTATAAGTGGCAGGTGTTACTGTTCCAGCCAATACATGTTTACAGCAGAAACAGAAGTTGTCAGCAAAAAGAACATCATACTTTCTTCTCCTGTGGGTGCATCGTATTCTTTCCTTGTATGTTTTTGTCTTTTCTCCCGTCGTCATTTTGAATCCAAGTGCTTCCTCTCCTTCATATTGGTTGTGTCCTCATACTCACTGCTAGGAGTAGCAAAAATGCTGTTGCTTTTTGCAGTAAATAATGTCTCTCACTGTCAATAGCCTTTTCAAATCTTCCAATTTCATTTGCTTACTGTATTTCACTGGTTTTAACATGCACTTGTTTTCAAATTTGCCCCTCTGAAATCAGGATGTATCTCAATATTTTAACACTCAAGAGCATTTTGTTTTAAAATCTGTATCATCTTAAATGCAAGAAATTTCATTTATATGACCCTCCCTTGCATCTGTTAGGGTTAAACAGGGCGAGGATTATCCTCTCCATTTTGCAGATTAGGAAACTGGTGTTTAATTAGGTCAGGTGCAGAGGGGGCTGGGCCCACAACAGCACTTGCTCTTTGCTCTTTAGCAATGAGCTGTGGGGACTCAGAAAATTTTAAAGTCCTGTTTGGGAAGAGGGATGCTTATGGTGTAATATATTAACGTGTACACCTGGAAACAGGATGCAAAAGAATTTTAACAACAGTTCTGTTTGAAAGATGGTATTATGAATGCGGGTTTTTAAAATTAAAAAATGTAGTCTGTTTATAATACTGTGAATATATTCAACAGTACTGAACTGTACAGTTAGAAATGGTGAATTTTAAAAAGATACTCTAAGGGCTAAGGTTGTAGTTCAGTGACAGAGTGCATGCCTGGCACATGTGAGGCACTAGATTTGATCCTCAGCATCACATAAAAATAAATTTTAAAAAATAGTTATTTTTAAAAAATTTTTAAAAAGATACTTTAAGAAAGTACAGGGCTAGGGTCATAGCTCAGTGGAAGAGTACTTGCCTAGCATGTGTGAAGCACTGAGTTTGATTATCAATATCACATATAAGTAAATAAATTAATAAAAAAGAAAGAAAGTGCAATATAATAGGGAAAAATAATCTAATCCCAGGCAGAATTCTTCAGAATATACAGCCAGAATCTCAAGGTGAATCCATGTTTCTTGAGGAATGTTTTCCTGAACCATAGTAAGGTTTAGAGGAGTGGCCCTGTTTGGACAGACACAGGGGAATGATCAAGAGGAAACAGAAGAAATTCAAAGCAGGGGTCATAAGGAAGGGCACAAAATAAAACTCTAGGGCTTGAAGCAAATCCCCTTAGAGAGGCTAGGAGAGGGAGGAAGTAACATGGAAATGGAGTGACTAAACTGCTCTAATGACTCTCTGCAGACAGTCGTGGCCTATAATTGGAAAACTGGAAACATGGTGAAAAGGTTCAAAGGACATGAACGTGAAATCACCAAGGTAATTGTCAAATGATTATCCTGAAGGGAATCTGGAACTGAATCAAGGAATATCTAATAGCTCTAGATATTAAGAGTGATTGTTTAGTCCTAAGGAAAAATACCCAGGCTTTATTTAATGCTGTGAAGTTCTACTCCAGGCAAAGCCAAGTAGAGCAAAACAAAGGTGGAAATATGCAAGATGGCCATCAAAAGGCACACAGATGAACAAAATGTGGGAATATATGCACAATGGAGTATTATTCAACCTTGAAAAAGAATAAAATTCTGATGGGTGCTGTGGCACATGCCTGTAATCCCAGGCTCAGGAGTTTCAGGTAGGAGGATCACCAGTTCAAACCCAGCCTCAGCAACTTAGCAAGGCCCTAACCAATTCAGTGAGACCCTTTCTCTAAGTAAAATACAAAAGGGGCTGTGGATGTTGCTCAATGGTTAAGCACCCCTGGGTTCAATCCCCAGTTCCAAAAAATAAAAAAATAAAAGATCTTAGCTTCCATCTTCAAAATCACCTCTTATTCACAATATGACTGCTGTAGCTCCCTTCATCATGTCTGATCTTGAGGCAGCAGGAGGAAAGAAAGGGCAAGAACAAAGGATTGTATCTGTCAGCCCCCTTTAAAGGGTTTCCTATAAATCCCACTTCTACTTATATTTCATTGGTTATCTGTATCTTCAAGTGGGTTGGGAAATATTAATTGATAGGAGTACATTGCCATATCCAAAAATATAGAGGTTTTGTGTTAAATGAGAATGGGAAAATGGGGGCTGTGGTTGTGGCTCAGCAGTAGAGTGCTCACCTAGCAAGTGTGAGGCACTGGGTTTGATCCTCAGCACCATGTAAAAATAAAATAAAGGTATTGTGTCCAACTACAACTAAAAAAAAAAAATTAAAAAATGGGGAAATTGGTCATGAGTACAATACTTGTAGACTGCTACAAGTATTGAAAAAAAATTCTTAATGAAATATTAGCAAATAGAGTTTAACTTTCCTAGAAAAACACATACCATGACTAACTGAGCTTTATTCCAGGGATGCAGAAATGATTTGTTATTAAGAAATTGATAAATATGGTTCTCTGATCATCTTAGTAGAGATGAGAAGATCCAGTATTAATTCTGAAACAGAATTCCGTGGTCACTTGGTAAAGTAGAAATAAATGGATCTTTATGTGATTAAAAATAAATATGATTCAAACCCCTCTCTGAAACAAAATAAAATGCGTGACATTACAACATGAAGTAGGAGAAACACAAGGGGACGCCGAGACGGGTGGAGGTGCAGTGCACTGCGCTCTTGTTGGTGCCCACGGTGCCGCGGGAGCACACGGGGGATGTTCTGCAGGAGCCCCCAAAGCCGGCGGGGAGGGCCGTGGAGGTGAGGTGGTCTGGGAAGACGTGAGGTTTTAACGGCTCCCCTTGGAGGATGGGAGAGAGAGTCGGCTTTACACAGAGTGGGCACACCATGGAGAGAGGTGGGAGGCAGCCTCCCGCCTTTCCCATCAGAGACCCCCCCGTTTAGGAATTGCTTACTGAAAGTGGGGGGCTGCGCGGAGCCACCCTTCCGCGCATTGAAATCCAGTCCGAGGCACAGCGACGGGTTTCTGTTCTGTTTCCTCTGAGCAGGTGGCCTGCAGTCCCCGGTCGGGCCAGTTCTTCAGCGCCTCTCGGGACAGGCGGGTCCTGATGTGGGACTTGCACGAGGCCTCCCAGCCCAGGCAGCAGCTGTGCGGCCACGCTCTGGCGGTCACCGGCTTGGCCGTGAGTCCAGGTAAGGCGGAGCAGCTCTGCCCGGCGCCCTCGGGCTCTCCCGGCCTGTGCAAGTCCTGCCCCATGGGTGTCTTCTCGCTTTGCTTCCAAAGACGCCTCCCAGCTGTGCACTGGCTCTCGGGACAACGCCCTGCTTCTGTGGGACTTGGGGACCGGACGGTGTGTGGAGAGAGCCTTGGTCTCCAGGAACCTGGTATGAATCCCACCTCGGTGCAGGGCAGGGTAGCAGAGGGGGCCCGGGCAGGGAAGGGCACTGGAAGCTCGCAGCCGAGCACTGTTGTCATAGCGCGTGCGCAGCGTGGGGAAGCCCCAGGCTCCAGCTCCAACACCAAAAAGGAAATAGAGAAAAGGCCCAGGAAAGAGATCCGGAGACCCACGGCCAGGCCTCAGAGCCTGGTCCTGATGGCAGCCCCTGCTGACCTCTCGGGTCATTGAGTTGGATGATGGCAAGCCTTCTGCTGTAGAGAATGACCCCACTAGTGTGTGCTGACATCTAAAATGGTGTCTTCATCTATTTCTTCAACATGCATCTAATCCATTTCTTCTGTGGGCTCGACACTGCTAGGAACATGATTAGTGACAGATCTCAGTTCTGTCTACCAAGAACTCACAGCTGGTGTACTGTGTGGCGGCTGCTCTCCTTGGTGTAACATAATAACAAAGAAATAAGCCTCACCTTTTTCTCCTTGTGTAATTTGCTGTTTTTGTTTTTTCCTGGCCCTGGAGATTGAATCCAGGGGGGCTTACCCACTGAGCCATATCTCCAGCCATTTTTATTTTTTATTTTGAAACAAGGTCTGGCTAAGTTTCTCAGGGACTCACTAAGTTGCTGAGGCTGGCTTTGAACTTGTTATCCTCCTGCCTCAGCCTCCTGAGCCATTGGGTTTACAGTATGCGTCACTGTGCCCAGCTTTGCTGTGTTTTTGAAGACCTGTTGTTTTCTGGTAGATTTTCATGGTATATAAATTCCATGGCCTTTGGGGTCAGTCATACCTGGTTTCAAATATTTGGGTGAGTTTGTTCTTCATTTTTTTTTTTTTTAGATCCAGGGCCTTGAGTTTGTTAGCAAGCACTCTGCCCCTTCTACATCCCAGTCCTGGCTTCACACTCACCACTTCCTGGCTGTGCTACACCAAGTTACTTAAGCTCTTAGAGTCTCAGTGTCTTCATTTATCAGATGAGGAGAATTATGTTGCTAGTTAAGGTGAAATGGGGTAACCTGTGTATGTGAAACACCTGTCATCATGCCTGCCACATGGCAGATGCTTCTTTAGTGGTCGTCAAAGTTCATCTTCTCTGATTTTGAAGACAGCTGTCGATAGAGTGAACTTGCTGATGCCCTCTGTGTCTGTGGGCCTTTGCTGTACTGAAGAAACAAAAATCCCGTTTCCTTGTTTTTTGATAACTGTTCCATCCTGCCCTGTGGGGAACTGCAGGGATAAAAAGGACAATGGTCACTCTTCTGAACCCCATGAGGCAGTAGACCAGAATTTCCCTGGTCCCACCTTAGAACAGGGCCTGCTCTCCTGGCTGCCACTGCCAACAGGTCCCTGCCACTTGACTGGCTTTCAGGTGCTCTTAGGCTGCCCCAGCTGCCACAATTGCTGCTGATAACCAAGGAGATGCAGCCAGAGCTGGCTAAAAAGTGTCTGCAAGACATTAAATCCCTTTAAATCAAACTTACTAGTTTGGAATTCTTGAGAAGAGGTGCAGAGATGCTCTTTAGCACCAGGTACAGGAATCACAGCAGAAGAATGACTTGGTATGGAGAAGTGTTGAAAGTTTTCCTTTTTCCAGGTCACTCACCTGTGCTGGGTCCCCAACGAACCATATATCCTGCAGTCCTCTGAAGATAAAACCATCAGGTGGGCCACTGAGTGGAGTGAAGGTGTTTCTGGTGAAGGTTTGTGGCTCCCGTGCCTACATCACTTTGCTCCACTCTGCTTCTCCCCTCTGCTCTGCCCTTTCCTGGGACTCCCACCTGTCTGCCCCATGCTGGTGCTGAACTGATGTGGCCCCTTAGATCATCTGGGTCACCTGTAGGTGACGGTTTTGAGAGCAGCCGACCCATCCAGCTCCCACTATGTGAGTGGGTTCAGGTTAACCCTAGGATAGGCCACTCAGCCTCCCTGGCTCCACTTGCCACCCGTTCATGGCTCCAGGGGTTCTCTGTCACCAGCATTCATTTGAAAACCTTCTTGGGGAGTCAGGAACTACATCAAGGGATTCAAATGAAGTCAGTAGTGCGCAGAGTGGAGTGCATGACTAGAAACTTTGGTTCTCAAAAGAGATTTTATTTAGAAAATGGTTAGAAATGAGATAAAGTGATATAAATGAGACGAAGCAAAACAAAACACTCTCCTGTGAACTCCAGGGTCAGGGCTTCTGAATCTGTTTATCTGTTCTGAAATGAAGACTGCGCTCTAGATCATAAAAAGTATCTTTTAAAAAATTAAAATCATAGGCATAGAAATAGTCTCTTGTCTAAAGCAGTGTCCTGAAGGACCAAATTAACAAATTGACTTGTACAATTAAATGTGGTCTAAATTCTTATTAACAGATCTCAAAATAGAAAACTCAGGTGTCACTCAGTTTGGTTATTTCCTGTCAACTTTAACATCCTAGAGATTGCACCAATTCAGGCGGCTATATTCAGGTAAATCATAGTATTACATTCTGACTGACCTCCGTAGCAAGGAGCCAAGACTTTATGTGAGTGAGATATTACAGATCTGTTTCAGGCACATTTACTCTAAACTCATTTCCTGCTTTAATTTCTTTCAGACTATGGGACAGTCGGGGGCTACAGGTGGCTCACATGTTTCCCACAAAGCAACACATTCAGACCTACTGCGAGGTCAGCATGGATGGTCACAAATGCATCTCCTGCAGCAACGGTTTTGGAGGCGAAGGCTGTGAAGCCACAGTAAGAGACTGTGTGGGGTCCAGGGGCCTGGTTACTGAGGAGCAAATTACTTCCTCTGGCTTCATGACTTTAGCTGGACTAACAGACTCTGCTATTGGCTCAGGCCTATTTTAGGTGTAACTGTGGGTGATTCTTTACAGTCCAGATGCTTCTTTTAAGAAATATCCATTAACCTAAGCCTCTCTAAATTGGTAGTAGACAAGAGGAACAGGATAACAGTCAAGATTGAAAGGAGCTAAACAGAACCTGTTTGCTAATGTCACTACTCCCAGCAGAGTATATGGGGAAGGTCAACTGAAGAGCCAGATGTATTCCCATTGTGCTGGGTCTCTAATGAACCATATATACTACAGTCCTCTGAAGATAAACCATCAGTCTTAGTAAAGGAAGTTTGAGCTCTTTAGGGAATGTGGAGCTCCTGGGTTAGTCTAGAGCCCACTCCATCCCTGTCCATGTGCCTTCCATGCAATTAATTTCAGGATAGATTGTCTAGACTCCTCCAGAGTATCTTAGATTCATCATTATAGAGTATCGTTATCACATGCACTATCTTCTTTAATCCTTAAAACAACCCTATGACTTAGGTACTGATGAGGGAATAGAGGCCTGGCCAGCTGAAATCTCTTGCACATAATCACACCCCCGCTAAATGGCAGATTGGGGTGTTGTAAGCTTTGGATGCAGGATTTCATCTCCAGGCTTATGTATGGCATGGTTTCCAGTGACTTCATTGTTTTTGGACAGTTCAGTTTGCTCTCCTCCCCGAACGTTACTCTCCAGGTGTGACCTGATCTGTACCAATGAATGGAACTGGTGGGACTGTCACTAGACTGTCACTAATGCCTAGACTCTAGGCATTACCCTAGAATGTTTGTACTTACATGTATTTATGAGAAGGTGTTCCTAACTACAGGGTCACACAAGACCCACAAATGCCAAAAAGCTGGTAAAAGGCAGCTCTTGAGTTGTCATGGAAAGCAAGAAATTCCATACTGTTCCATTACACTGCAGGCCTGGGAGCTTTTACTCCTCATGAAAAAGGCAACAGCACTTCTGGCACATTCTTAACCAGTGTTGTTTGGGACATAGTTGTTGCAAAATAATCACCTGGTGGGTGGATTGGTGGGTGGGTATGATGGTTGAAAGAAGAAGTTCATGTAGCTACAGGAGCAGGTAAGTGGAGGACACAGGAGGATCGTGGGCGGCTGGGAAGATGGATAGTAGTGAATGAAGTGCGTGTGAAGCTGAGGAATGTGTATGTACAAGCTGGTCCATAAAAATTTACTTTGCAGTTGTGGGACCTAAGGCAGACAAGAAACAGAATACGTGAGTATAAGGGGCATTTCCAGACAGTTGCATCCTGTGTTTTTCTACCAAGAACATTGGCCTTGGTGCCTGCAATTGCTACCTCATCACATGATTCCAAGGTGAAGATATGGAACCAAGATACTGGAGGTAAGGAGACTCCTGTAGTGCTGCTCAAAGATACATGGGGTTCTAAAACTCCTGCTTCCCATTGGTCATCATGTTCAAAGCCAGCCATCTCCTGCCACCGTCTAGTTCCCTAAGTGGTTAAGAGATGACACCTAGATGCTAGTCTCTCTCTGGTTGACCTCTGGATAGAAACTATCACCATGTATCTCGTGATGCATAGAGTCATTCCTGAGAACCCAAACAAAATCTATTTGGCTCTTATGTTCTTTTTCCCTGAAGTTTCTCATCAAGTTTTAACTGGTGATGCTCAAGATGTGTGGAAAAGGGACCAAGAATTGCCATATTTGAATTCCTTTTTCAAGGACTAAATCAAAAGCTTGGTGGGATTCAGGGACAGTAAGAAAAGTCTCAGAAAGATTTGTTTCATTTGGACTCTAGAACTGGTTAAGACCATAGTAAGGCTATGACACTTCAAAGCACCAGAGAAAAGGTGTCTGTGGATCGTGGCTCCCCACAGTCCTGGACATGCTGGAGCTGGCTCCTACTGGTCAATTGTTAGACACTCGGTGATTTTTGTTTTGTTTTTGGCACTGGGGTTTGAACCCAGGGGTGCTAAACCACTGAGCCATATCCCCAGCCTTTTTTATTTTTTATTTTAAGTTGCTGAGGCTGTCTTTGAGATATTCAGCAATTTTGTGAGCTAGTTTTTAAACCTTTGATAGCATGAAAGCTGGTCATGATGGGGGCAAGTGCTATGAATAAGTGTTGGAAACCAGAAAGCTGGCTGCCTAGCACCCTGCTGCTGCTGTGCTGCTCCGCCCTAGGCAGGTCAACCTCTCTGTAAGGATAAGAATGCATTATTTAGAGAACTGCAACCACATCCTTCCAACAGAAGTCCTCCAGAAACTCAGTGCCCCCAGGGGGAGAAAGGGTACCCTCTCAAAAGAGTTGGGACCATGTCTAATGGCACTCTGCAAACAGCTGGGGCCACAAGCATTAGTACAGACAGGCCTGTTGTCCCCTTACCTGGAGTGCCCTTTCCCAGCTGCCCAGGTGTAGCAGTCGTGGGTGGTAGGCAAGCACAAGTTTTTGGTTTAGAAATCATGAACCTAAGACCAGGGAAGTGAGGGCCTGATAGTGTTGACCTGAATGGATGGCACTGATGCCTTGCCCACTGGGTGTGTACCTGAAGTTCTTAGAAGAGTGGCCTTTGAGATGCAGATGGAAGGAGACTGAGTCAGCTGGACACCCCCAAAGACTGCTTGCAGGTCCCCATTCTCTTTTATCTTGAAGGGAGCCAACAACTACAGATCTGTGTCCTTGTCTGTTTTCCCTGTCCCTGCTCTGCCTTGGTCTCTGAGTAGGTAAGGCCCCAATTGTTTGCACGCACTTCTTGGTGGCATCGATCTTGTTTGGCCTGGGCCCCTTTCTGTGCAGTTGAATTCATGACATTGACCCAAGTTCTGCCTTACCTGCTGGTGCACCTTCCCATGAAGCAAGTGGGGCCTTGTGTGTTAGACGCTTATGCATTAGACAGTCCAGCACGGGCTTTATTCCCTTGGATTTCTCAGGAGGACCTGGCGCATTGATACAGTCACTCACTGCATAATGACGTTTCAGTCAACCTCAGACCACATAAACACTGGTGTATACCACATGGCCTCGGTGTGTAGTAGGCTGTACCACCTAAGTTTGCTTAGTACACTCTGTGATATTTGCATAACAATAAAATTGTCTAATGATGCATTTCTCAAATTCATTCTGTCATTAAGCCATGTGTGACTTCATTGCACTCTGGCCTAAACTGTGGATATCCCCTTCCCCTCAGCCTGCCTTTTCACCTTGTCTCTGGATGGATCTGGACCCCTAACTTCCCTGGCTGTTGGTGATCCCATCTCCTTATTATGTGCAAGTTTCAACAGAGGAATTCACCTACTCAGAGTGGACCACAGCCGAGGGCTGGAACTGGAGGAAGTGGCAGCATTCTGAAGCCGAGAGACATTTACCAAACAATATCAAACCATGGCCCTCTGTGTGGCTTTGTTTTTCCATGTTATCTTGAGGTGGGTGGAATATAGGGCTGGTGTTCTTTGCTTAGGTTTACTTAGAAGGTATATCAGTGTTAGAAGTCAATTTAAGTTCAGTGGTTCAAAATCAGGTATGAAATTTAGAAACACAGACTAAACATAAAGTTTACAATCTAAGTTAAACCCAAATGCAGTGTTTTAGTGAGCATTTGGGACAACTCTTCAGGGGAAAAAAAATGTTTTATTCAAAATGATGATCTAAAGATATAGGAGTGATGGACCTGTGACTGTGAGAAGAAGCAGGGAGCTTGATTCCATCCGTCTCTCCACAAAAATAAATAAATAAATAGAGAGATAAGAAGAAATAAAAGGCAACAGGAATAGAATCTGCTTTAGTTGCCTCAAAAAATAATTGAGATGGGAAAGTAGCTCGGCCCATAGAGGACATGGATCGTCTACATAGTTTAAGCTCTGGGCATCGCTCCTCAGCACTGAAGGATCAAAGCTGGGCGAGAAAGCCAAAGCCTCGGCTTCTACCCAGAGCAGGGGAGGTGGTAAACTCCTGCCCTTGCATGTGCCTTCCTAGACCAGCGCTGCTGATGTGCTTCAAGAGGCTGACCAGCACAAGGACATCACCCAGATCATAAGAGTTATCTCATTTCCATGGATAGGAAAATGGACAGAGATTAAGGTTGAAAAAGTTTATTTGTAATTTGAATATTTTATATAAATAAAATTTCATACATATATATACACATACATACACACGTGTATATATATGCATATATAATATACATATTTATAAAAGATATACATATTTATAAAATATGTATATAACTATATTAAAATATTTATAAATATACAAATATTAAATTATATAAATATATTTAATATATGTTAAATGTATAATATAGAAATGTATATATATTTAATATCTTTATGTGGTGCTGAGGATCAAACCCAGTGCCTCACACATGCGAGGCAGGCGCTCTACCACTGAGCTACAGCTACAGCCCCGAAAGGAGAAAATTTTTAAAAGGGAAAAATCATCACAAGAACATCTGAAGACATTATCTGCTTCACTTTTCTTTTTTTTATTTATATATAATAGCAGAATGCATTACAACTCTTACTACATATATAGAGCTCAATTTTTCATATCTCTGGTTGTATACATAGTATACTCACACCAATTCATGTCTTCATACATGTACTTTGGATAATAATGATCATCACATTCCACCATCATTAATTACCCCATGCCCCCTCCTTTCCCCTCCCACCCCTCTGCCCTATCTAGAGTTCATCTATTCCTCCCATGCTCCCCCTCCCTATCCCACTATGAATCATCTTCCTTATAACAATGAAAACATTTGGCATTTGGTTTTTTGGGATTGGCTAACTTCACTTAGCATTATCTTTTCTAACTCCATCCATTTAGCTGCAAATGCCATGATTTTATTCTCTTTTATTGCTGAGTAATATTCCATTGTGTATATATTTCACAGTTTTTTTAATCCATCTATTGAAGGGCATCAGGTTGGTTCCACAATGTAGTGATTGTGAATTGTGCTTCTATAAACATTGATGTGTCTGTGTCCCTGTAGTATGCTGTTTTTAAGCCACTGTATAATTTTTATATTTTATCTCAAGTGTAATAATTATACAAAAATATCAGATGCCTTTAAGGGTACAACTTGCTGAATTTTTATTAACTGAATAAACTCTGATAAGCAGACTCAGATGCAGAAGGGTAAATATCCAGGAACCTGAATGGTTGCCACGGCACTCCTCTCCATGCCTGTTTGCTAAGGAATTTGTCACAGCATACATTGATTGTGCCACTTTTCTATGTTATGTAACTGCTTTGTGATAGATAGAAAATATGGCCACAAGTTTCTCCCATAGCTGAACGTGCATCCCTTTGTGACATGAATTCCTCTCCTCCAGAGGGACTGTCTATTCCATGCACCTTTAACCTGGGCTGGTCTTTTGACTCAGTTTGACCAACACAATACAGAGGAATGGACTCTGCACCTCCTGAGGCTGGACCTTGAGATGCTTTGCCGGTCTGCTTTGGCCCTCTAGGACTGCTGCTCTCAGACTGCCACATAAAGAGGGTCATCTAGGCTACATGGAGAAGAACCAAGCATCACCAGAGCAAGGTCACGCGAATGAGGTCACCTTGGGCCATCCAACCCAGCCAGCTCTGCAGCTCAGTGCTAAGTAAACTCCAGATATCAGAAGAGAAACTCCACAGCTAGCCCCACAAGATCATAAGAAATAATAAATCATTGTTTTAAGACCCTGAGTTTCAGAATGGCTTGTTACGCAGCAAGACATTTAAGTGGAACAAGCATGTACTCTTTTTATTTTTGGTCAGGCTTCTTTTGCTCAACACGTTTATGAGATTGATCCATATCGTATGTAGCTGAATACCCATCATTTTCATTGTTCATTGTGCATTATGTGAAAATACTATGATTTATCCATTTAACTATGGATGGGCATTCAGGTGGTTTCTAGTTTCAGATTCTCACAGGTAGTGCTACTGTGAACATTTCTGCCAACAGGTTCTCTGGTGAACATCTGCATGTTTATGTGCTCATTCTGTAACCAGCAATGGACTTGATGGGCTATCCTGTACTCACACATGGTCACTTTCATAGATACTGCCCAACAGTTTTCCAAGGAAATTGTGCTACGGCTGTAGAAGAGTTAGAGTTTCAGTTGTCCCACAAACCCTAGCCAACACTCTGTGCTCTTGAACTCTCCAGTCTTGTTTTAAAGTGTGCAGATGCTGAGGAGTGCCCCATGGGAGTGTTAGCTCCGGGAGCCAGCAACAGAGGAACCTGGACCAACTGGTTTTGACATCCATCCCCCTCCCTGGTGCCTTCAGTAAAGAGGCCAGAATTTAACAAAAAACTTTATACAGTGCTCTGCATTTTCCATAGAACTTTCATAATCATCATTTCATCCGAGTCTTTCAAGAAAATAATACTTAGATGGGCAGGGTGGAGATCATTACCTCTGGTCTATCTATGGGAAAAAGTGGCTCAAGGTCAAACAGCGTGTGACAGAGCCCAGATGGGAGCTCAGGTCTTGAGACATGGAGCCCGGTTCTTCTTCCAGGTTTATGAAATAGAGAATACATTCACATAGTCACAGGAGTACAAAAGGTTCTAGGATGGAAAGCCTCCCTGTCCAGGCCAGCTGCCTTCTGTCTGGCGCCCTCTGGAGTTATCCATCAGCTGGTGCATCCTATTTTATGCATATGACAAAAAAAACCCAAAAAAACCAGGTTTTTCCCTAATACCACTTTTACCATCAAAAGACAGTATGAGTTCATCTTGAAGAAAAAGCTGTGAAAGACTGTTTCATTAGATAGAAAGATGATAAGGTGAAAGGGGAGACTTTAAAATGGGGATCACATGATTTATAAAAATTTTCTATATAGAGAGACATGTGTCAGAGATTGTCTCTGCTTGAAATCCCAGCATGCCTCTTCCTAGCCCTGTGACCTTGGGAAGTGGCTTAACCTCTCTGTACCTCAGGGTCTTTATAAAATTAAGAAGATGGTGATAATAGCACCTACACATAGAAATGTCATCATGGCTAAGGAATACAATTTAGGAAGAGCCCCTAGAATATGCCCTAAATGTTGAGGATTATTATATTCATCTGAGTTTCCTAATTTTCCTATCGTGGACTTATCTTACAGTAAAAGTTAAAGATTAAATTTTCTGAGAGAAGGGAAGTTGTACAGCTATAGAAAGGGGCACAGATGAGAGAGACAGTGTGGGCACAGAGAAAGGGGAGAGGCCAGGAGGCCTGAGGAGAAGCAGGAACAGGAGCCTGCAGACCAGAAGAAGTGAGACATCTCTGGATTCCTGGTTGTGACACTGCCAAAGACCCTAGAGTCCTGTCATGCTCTGTTTACTGTTGCTATAATGGAACACCTGAGACTGGATAATTTACAAAGGAAAAAAGTTCGTTTGGCTCATGGTTCTGCAGGCTGGAAACCTAAGGCCATGGTGCAGGCTTCTAGTGAGGTCTTTGTGCTGCTTCAACTCATTGCAGAAAGTGGAAGGGCAGATGGGCCTATATGGAAGAGAGGAGCAGCAGGAGTGAACTTGCTTTGTAACAACCCATTTTCATGAGACTGAACCCACTCCAGAGAGAAAGGCATTAATCCTTTGTAATGGCCTGATGCCCTGTTACAGGCCCTTACACCTCTTACCACTCACAGTGGCAAATATCAACATAAGTTTTGGAGGGAACAAACCATATTCAAACCTTAGCATTTACCTCTCAGGCAAAAATAAAATCATTCCATCCACAAATCTTAACTTGTTCCCAAAATCTATCTCCGAAGTCTTAACTTTTTCCAGCACTAACTGAAAAGTCCAAAATCTCATCTGTGTACCTGTGGAATCAAAATAAGTTATCTACTTACAAAATGCAATGGTGAGCACCTATAATCCCAGCCTCTCAGGAGGCTGAGACAGGAGGATCACAAATTTGAGGGCCGCCTTAGTAACTTCCGCACTTAGCAACCTAATGAGACCCTATCTCAAAGTAAGTAGTAAAGCATCCCTGGGTTCAATTCCCAGTGGTGACAGAGAACAAAACAGGACAGGTTTAGGGTAGACATTCCCACTCCAAAAGGGAAAAATGGTACAGAAGGAAGGAATGACAGGTCCCAAGCCAGGTCAACTCCAGGAAGGCAGACATTTAAGTCTTTTTTTGGAAGGGCGGGTACCAGGGGTTGAACCCAGAGTGCTTAACCACTGAGCCACATGCCCAGTCTTTTTTTTTTTTGGTACTGGGGATTGAACTCAGGAGCGCTGGACCACTGAGCCACATCCCCAGCCCTATTTTGTACATTATTTAGAGACAGGGTCTCAGTGAGTTGCTTAGTGCCTCACTTTTGCTGAGGCTGGCTTTGAATTCACAATCCTCCTGTCTCAGCCTCCTAAGCTGCTGGGATTACAGGCGTGAGCCATAGTGCCAAGCCCCAGTCTTTTATTTATTTTTTATTTTTATGTGGTGCTGAAGATCGAACCCAGTGCCTCACATGTGCTAGGCAAGTGCTCTACCGCTGAGCCACAACCCAGCACCGCCCCCCACCGGTTCCTTTTTTATATTTATTTAGAGACAAGGTCTTGCTAAATTGCTGAGGCTGGCTTTGATCCTCCTGCCTCAGCCTCCTGAGCTGCTGGGATTACAGGCATGCGCCACCATGCCTGTGCAGACGTCGAGTCTTAAAGATCACCTCTCACTCCAGGTACCGCATACTTGGATGTGAGGCAGCCCCACCCCAGGGCTCAGTCCCTGCGTCAGCTCCCCCAGGTTGGAGTTGCGCACTGGTGCTGCAGCTTTCCCAGACAGGCATCGCATGCTGTCGACGGCTCTGCTGTTGGGGGGGGGTGTCCCTGGGGTGGTCTCCTTCCGTTGGCTTCCCCAAGGATTGCTGCAGTGGGGAATCTGCAGTGGCCCCACCCCGTGGCTGACCTTGGCCTGCCCACCCCCCCTCAGGCTATTTGCAGCATCCTTTAAAATCTAGGTGGAGGTCGCTATAACAGAATACTTGAGACTGGATAATTTATAAAGGAAAGTTTATTTAGCTCACAGTTCTGGAGGCTTCTGTCCAGCTCTGGTAAGGGCTTTGGCTGCTTCAACTCATTGCAGAGAGCAGATGAGCAAACGGGCATGTGTGGAGAAACCAGTGAGAGGGCCTGAGCTTGTTTGATATCAACCCACCATTGCAAGAATGATCCTCCTCCTGTGAGAAAAGCAGCAATCCCTCTTAGCGACCTAATCACCTCTTTAAAAGGCCCCACAAACCGGGCACAGTAACATATGTCTGTAATCTTATCTATTTGGGAGGCTGAAGCAGGAAGATCACAAGTTCAAGGCCAGCCTGGGCAACTGAGCAAGACTCTGTCTCAAAATAAGAAACAAAAGGGCTGAGAATGTGACTCAGTGCTGTAGCACCCCTGGGCTCAACTCTCAGTACTGCAAATAAGTTAGTTAGTTAATTAATTAATTAATTTTAAAAGGCCCAGGATGTAGTCCAGTAGTAGACCACCTGCCCAGCACACGTGAAGCCCCGAGTTCAAACTCTTGTACTTTAAAAAAAAAAAAAATGCCCCATCACTTTTCAACATTGTCACCATACCAGGTCCCTTTGCCAGTGTTGCCATCTAAGCATTTCAAGAGCAGAGATGGAGCCCGGCCTGACAGGCTTCTCGCCTGCCATTTGGAGGAGGTCCTTGAGACCTTCCTTGTACAGAGAGTCCTCAATTAATTCTGCCAATGTCTTCGTGGCAGGACTCATGCAGAGAATGCTTCAGAATATATGGGAGGACTGGCCTGCACGCCTGGGCCATCTCACACCAAGGACCTCCTGCAAGGGCAGTTTGAGAGGTTGAAAGACCAAATGCTTTATGCTCAGACCAGCTGGTGAAGAACTCTGAGTCGCAGTCCTGTGTTTCTAAACATACCAGCCACCGAATGCAGAAGGTATTTTGTCCTTTGGCTGCAGCTGGAGCCTGCCCTCTGCACACAGGACACAAAGACTCGAAAAGCCAGAGGCCTGTCCTCGGGAACACGGGGAAGAACAGCACTGGACCATCAAGCTTCCAGCCTCAGCTCTGACATTTAGTGTCTATGGGGGTGAAATGGCTTAATTTCACCAAAATCCAACTGCTCCTCACAGAGTCCCTTGAGTTAAGCTGGGAATATTCACACCACCTGAGCTGTGACATGATTAAAAAGATGTTGCATGGGGCTGGGGTTGTGGCTCTGTGGTAGAGCACTTACCTAGCATGCATGAGGCACTGGGTTCAATCCTCAGCACCACATAAAAATAAAATAAAGATATTGTGTCCACCTAAAACTAACTAACTAACTAAATATTTTTTAAAAAGATGAAGTATGTGAAGGAATATCTAGTTCTTGTGAGGCTGAGGCAGGAGGATATCAAGTTTGAGGCCAACTTGGGCAATTTAGCAAGACCCTGTCTCAAAATTTTTAAAAAAGGACTGGGGATGAGCTCAGTGGTGGAGCAATTGCCTAGCCTGTATAAGGTCTTGGGTTCAATCCCAGTACTGAAAAAAAAAAAAAAAAAATCCAGATCATGTAATTCCTGCAAAGTCTTAGGCTGGGAAGTAGCATCATGTCAGTGTTTCTATCTTTATTCAAGTGACGCAGTCTAAAAGTAAAATAAAATAACAAAACAAAGCAGCCCATAATCCTTAGTCTCAATTTTAAAATCTCAAGCTCTGAAAAAATTTTTCCCATTAAATTTTGTGTCCAAACTTGATCTGATCTTGTTTTTATTATTTTTGGTGTCAATGTTCATGAAAAACTGCAGAATATTGTCCCAGATCACATTGGGAGAGTTGTTCAATGGATGACAAATGCATATTACCTTCCTAAAATATGAAAAGCTCTAAAACACATTTGGCTGCAAAGGTTTTGCATAAGAGACTGTGACTTGCAATGGAAATTCTGACGACACACAAAGCCAATGTGGGGGACTCCTAATCCCAGGTGGGGACTCACCAGCCTCCTTAGGCTGTCGTGTCCTTGGGGATCCCTTATGAACCTAGAGATGAGTAAATCAATTCGAGCCAAGGAGCACATTGAGTGGTTTTCTCCCAAATCACTACTCACACTGCAGCGTGTCTCTGAATCTCCTAAGGATCTTGTAAAATGCAGATTCTGCCTCAGAATGAGTCTGAGTCCTGCATTTCTCATCCCCAGGCCATGTGTGTGGGGCTGGGGCTGTCCTAGACTCTGGGCAGTCCTATGGCCATCACCTAATCATAAAGCCCACCCACCTCGGTCATGGTCTTCTTCTCCATCCTCCATTGCCCACTGACCTGCTTCCCTGTTCCTTCCCAGATGGCTTGTAGCAGCAGCACCTGCCTCTGCACCACGCCTGGCTTGGCTCCACCAAGTCTCATGACTCTGCTTGCCCAGATCCAGCCAGGGTACTGCTTAGGCCAGGCGCTTTTCCAGCTGGCTGACCTCGCCCCCCACCCCCACCCCAGGCATAAACTAAATTAAACTCCCAGATTCCTGAGATGCCTCACTATCTCTCCTGGGAATCTCTCCAGAAAAATTTTCCACTGTTTTCAAAGGACTCCGTGGTCCTGACCACCCACAGATATTATGATGATGCGTTTACTCACTAGACACTTAGTGACCACTAAACAACTAGTGACCCGGAAAATGGCCCCCACCTGTGTTGTTTATCTCACTGCTTGCTGTGCCCTGACTGCTTTCTTACCTGCCCCACCTGCTTACCTTTAAGTTCCGGATTCTGAGTTGCAGAAAACTCTGACTTATTTTCCAAGATAGCTTTCTTACTACAAAAGTAGTATGTATTCATTTGAAAACTTAGGAAATACAGATGGCAAGAAGAAAATGAAAATGTTAGCACCTCTCACCCAGAGATAACCATTGTGACATTTTCCTCAGGGATGTTTAGTCTTTATACATAAATTTGACTTTATAAAATCTGCCTCATACTATATAAATTCGTTAGAAAACTGTTTTCCCTCTTGCATTTATAGTATATTGTGACCATATTTACAAGTCAATGAAAAGTCTTCTGGAACATCATTTTAAATGATGATATAGTTTTCTTCTTAACTGATGGGCTTTTGGGCTGTTGTCAATCATTTGTGGTTAAAATAAAACTGCAATGAACATCTTCATGCAACCAAAACATATTTCTTGGCTACTCCTGGGGAATGAAATTATTAAAACAGATATATGAACATGTCATGTTTTGCACTGGTATTGTCAAGCCGGGATGCATGACTTCCAAACTGTTGAATACACACTGGATCCTCAGTGTCTTGAATCCCCACTGACCTTAGTTAACCAGCAGAGAGAGAGGAAAGTGGGGAATTCCCAATCTGAGAGGAACCGGAAGGACTGTGTATTAATTTGAATCACATCACACTGTCTCCACTCAGAAAACTGCTTCAAGGTCTTCTTCAGAGATCTCAAACTTCCCAAAGTCTACAATTTTATTTTCACACAATCTAAGCTGGGCTGAAGTCTGTACTCATTTCTGCATTTATTCTTCCATCCAATTTTTATATATTTAAAATTAAGGGATTAGATCAATAAGGAATTGGTTAAGCAATTTATGGTATAGCTAGTCAGTGAAATTTAAAAACTGAAGAAAAACTATGTACTCACACAGAATGACATCTCAGACACATTATTAAGTGAAAAAAGAGAGGCTTATTACGGCCCATACAATATGCACATTTGGGTAAAAGGAGAAAGAGGAACACGTGGACATTTTGTTTGAATTTTTGTCTTTGGAAAGACGCAAAGAAACCTATTACCTTAATTTCTAGGGAAATTAGGTAGCTGGAAGAGGAGAGTTGCCTTGTAAAATCAATCCTCTCTCAGGTGAGCCATGGGAATGTATTGCCTATTCAAAAATAGAGTTGAATAACAAAATCAAATGGGGGAATTGGGGAATTTGATTACATCCCCAATCAGATACGTTTATTTATTTCTGTTTATTCTCCAAATGCCATTGAAAAGATCACTATTAGAATCAGAGGACTATAAGTACAAGGAGAAGGTTAGAGGGGACATGAATATAATTGGGGACATGATATGGGTGATGGAAGACATCCTCGCTGTCTTTTGGAAAACAGTGAGGCCGTGGCACAGATCGCAGAACCAAACATACTTGTTTATATTTTCGTGTGTATAATAATCACATATATATGTATACAAATACATATATTCCATTTGCATTTCTTTTCCCATGACTTGCCTGATTGTATAAAAATATTAACAGGTCTAGTTAACATTTACTTGGGTTTCTGAATGCCATTCACTGTTATAGTCTGTGTATTATCTCATTTAATCTGCTGGTCAAGTACATGGATTATTGTCCCCATTTTCAGGGAGGAAACTGAGACTTGGAGAAGTTAAGTAGTTTGCTTATCTCCGCTGCTAGTAAGCAGAGTCTGGATTCTGAGCGAGGACTCTGACCCCACACAGACCTACAAGTCTGACTTGCTGGAGAACCCGGACTCTCCCTGCCTATCCTAAACTGCCTCTCCTCTGACATTTTTTCCACTGGATTATTTGCATTTTGCAAGAGCTCTTTATCTTTTTATTGCAGGTGCTTAGAAGGGGGAAGGGTGGGAAGGGTCTGTAGGGTACCCTGCCTTTGGTCAAAGCCCGGCTGTGCAGGAGTCAGGAGAGGTCAGCAGGAGGCCACCAGAACGGTCTAGGACAGTGGAAGAAGAAGACGAGCCCCACACAGAACAGAGGCCTGCGAGGGTGAGTGGACTTCCACCCCCTCAGAGACAGATCGAGAGTGACTCACGGGGTGGGGGTGGGGGATGAAGAGACCGAAGCTCCCAGGTGCCCCCTGTACACACAGACAGTCCAAAGTCATCAGAGGGAAGCCTGCAGCAGAGAGAGCCAGACAGGCAGGCTGGAGGCAGAAGTCTCAGCGCAGAGCACATGCTTGCAGGGTGGCACTCAGGAAGGAGAAGGGGCTCCAAGGGAGCAGGTAAGGGTAAGGGAGCCAGGGGGGGTCATGGAGACATGGGGTCACAGGGCCTGGAGTCTGGAGACAGCACTGCCTCATGGTGGGCTCTGGCCTGGGATGCAGGCTCCGGGGCTCATCCTTCAACAGTTTTTAGCTCTGAAGCCTTGGACAAGTACCTCCACCATCTTGTGCCTTGGCTTCCCCATCTGTCAAATGGGTGTAAAAATGGTCAAGCTAACTCTGTACTGAACTCCTGCTGAGTTGTGCTGGGCACTCACAGGCTGCAAGGTGGGGTCATTGGCCTCTTTAACAGAAGAACATGAAGTGCAGAGGTTAAGCCATTCAGGATCAGCAAGGGTCTGGTTTCGAAGGCTGCCTGCTCTTTACTCCCATTCTGCCTCCTTCATAGGGTAGTTTTAGAGAATCAAACGGCCTTTTGCAAATAGAAACAAGCGGTAAAAGGTGATGATATTATCTAGTGGTGTTGCCACACAGTTCTTCTGCCAGTTCCTTATCTCTGTCATGTTGGTGTTGGAAACAATGGGGGCCACTGCAGACAGTTAAGATTTGGTAATGACTCGTGCACAGGTGGGGAGATGACTTTAGGGTGGTGTTTAGGACTCACTGTCCCTGAGCTGCCCTGGTCTGGGGGTGATGGGTGATACATGGCACAATGTCTCCTGGAGACACTGGCCTCTGACCAGCTGACCTTGGAAGCACAGCGAGTGCCTCACTGATAAGGGCCAGGCTATAGTCACTGTCCTCCTCCTCCTCAGCCCTCCACGGCTTTGGCCGTGGGTCCTCAGAAAGTGTAGCTCTGATCTGGGGGCAAAGGGGAGAGATTTTTAAGAATAGTGAGACAAGCTTATCTGGAATAAAGTTCAAATTTTCAGGTAAGAGAATTTTTAAAATAAAACATAATTTATAGTCTTGCCCCAGAGATAGCAACTGTTGATATTTGGTTGCTTATCTTTCCAGACAGTTTTCTTTGAAAATAGGATTGTGTTGTAATGTGGTTTTATAGCTGGTTCTTTTTCACATTACATCATGGATATAGTTCCATAATAATAAATGTTCTATCACATCATTTCCAAGGCTGCAGAATGTCTCTTCCACAGATAGAGCAGAATTCACCTCGTCAGCCTCCTAGTATTGGATAACGAGGTGATTATCTGTATCTCACCACTGCTCAAGGCCTTGGGCATCTCTGTAATCAAATCTTTGCACAGGCCCTTGATTAATTCCATGGAATAGATTTCCAGTTCTGAGTCAAGGCTATGAACACTTTAAGGTTTTTGATAATGACTGAAGTTCTGTTTGTGAGGCAGGAATTCAGGGGCTCCTCAAAGATCAGTGGAGAAAATGTTCTCATGGCTTTGAAGTCAACTGTAACCCTTCCTCTCTCTCTAAGCGGTTTGCGGAAATAAGGCCAACCACCTCTTACACAGTCCTTAACTGGGCACTGGGCCTACCTAAAAGTCTCGCTCCTCCTAGCTTTCTTTTCACAAGAGAAAATTGAGGCCTGCGGGATGCAGCACCAGCTGGAATTCCCGTCCTCATAAGCAGCAGACCTGGGTTCGTGAGCTTCACAGCTTGGCTCCAGGATCTACACCTGGTTCTGGGAAGTTGGTTGATTCTGTCTCCAAAGACATCATTAATGTCGTCCCCTTCGGTCCTCTCCACCCTCAGCTCACTAATGTCACACATCACCGTCACCTAACTGGCCTTCCATTTCCAGTCTTGTCCCTCTCAGTCTGTCCTCTGCTCTGAAGCTGGGATGCTATTTGAAACATGGAAATAGTATCACAGATCAGGCCACCTCCCCGAAAGAAATTCAGATGCTTCCTGAGCTTCAAGCCCCACCTCCTGCCCTTCTCCGTCTGCACTTCTTCATTGCTCATCACTCATTACACATCTCCTTGCCTCACTAGCTCCAAGTGCCATGAGGTCAGAGACGGGTTGATTTTGCCCACTGATGCAATGCCTTGCACAGCGCCTGGCATATAGTAAGCACTCAATAACTATGAATGAATGAATGGTCCACTGAATAAAGCACTGGTATAGACCTTTGGTCAAGTGCTTCTGTTAGGGCTGAGCCATCTTATCTTGCTTATCCTCATTTCCTTCTTCCCTGTGTGGTGCAGTGACCGAGTTTCTAGAAGAAGAAAACCAGGACGCCATGGGTGAGAGAGTAAGTAGGTTCTGCTCCAGGTGTCCGGTTAGTCAGGGGAGATGAGGCTATATCAGGGGTCCAAGGGACTCACAGCCCCCAAAGCTCCCCTTGCATAGTTCCCAGGTTCTTACCATTAGAGTCTTATGGCTGTAAAGAACCAGTAAAAGGAGAGCATTTCTGCCTAGCCAACAGCACACACCCGGCTTGTGGGCTAAGTGGATACTGTTCTGTTTTTGTGACAGCAGCATGGTGGTGGACTTGGAATCCAAAGACTCGGGTCCCAGTGTCACCAGAACCAGCTAGGTGGCTTGGGGTGAGTTACTTATCTCCATCTGCAAAGTGAGTGGTTAGGAAGAAGTGGTTTTTAAACCTTCCCCCACCAAAAAACTCAGCTATTTAAATAATTGAAAGGACCAAGATGAGAAATAGATAACAAGCCAATCATTTCGATTTGAAAAAGGAAGCAGGGCTGGGGCTGCTCCCTTCTGACTGCTCTCCTTAAGTCCCCAAGGCTGGCAGGATGGCCAGCTGTGGGATTCGAAGATCTCAGCTGGCTGGCTGTGTTCTAAGAACAAAGCAGAAGGCAGCAGGGTTTGCCGGCTGTGTGGGTACGGTAAGAGATCAGGAGAAGTCAAGGGGGCCGGAGGAGGCTGGCGTGCAGAGTTTTAGACCGTGAACCAGGTGAATTTTGCAGCAATAGAAGCACAGGGCAGGCAGCCCTTTGGTGCGAGGAAGAGATTCCAGCCATTTGAGAAAAGAAATGAGGGAAGAGGAAGCCCGGACGACTCACTTACCCTTTCCATGATCCAGAAAGGAAATCGCCACCCCTGCCTTTCCAGGCCAGGGACCTCAGGTCTGGAAAGAACCGCCCACAATCACGCAGATACTTGGTTTCCAAGTTCAATTGGCTGCCACGCCCCAGGTGTGTGTGGGGGAAACTCTGTCCCCAACCTCCCAGCCGCCACCTAGCAGCTCTCTGGCCTTGGCACCAGGCAGGTGCGCTCAACAGGCTGCAGCCTGGGCCACCTGGCAGCTCCAGGTGCTGTGATCTTGCTGCCATGGAGACGGCTTGGTGGTGAGAAGGCAGTTTCCCAAAGCTTTGTGGATTCAGGAGAGGGAGAGACTAGAACCTCAGGCACTTGTGAGTATTCTGCCTGATCCCGCTGCAGTCCGCACAAGCCCAGGTGGGTGTCTTGATGGTTTCCCTGGACAAAGCAGGGTGGGGGATCCAAGAGACACCGAGTGCCAGGGAGAGGCTCTGTGAGGGCTGATCTGGGGGCCTGAGCGATAGGTCCCAGATCAAGGGGAAAAGCTTTCCCAGGGGCCTCTTCATCAGGCCGAGGAGCGGGCCAGGCAGCTCTGGAGGGTTGGCCCTCTAGACCAGGCGGAGGAGGAAAGCAGGCCTGGCATTTGCTCCCACAGAAGGACAGACAGGGAATTGACAAAGACCATCTCGCCCTGGTCAGAGATTTAAGGGAAGGGAGGGTCTGCCCTCTAGCAAAACCCCAACCATGGTTCACCCTCTTCTGACTTCGGGGCAGTCAAGGGCCAACACGGTGACCACAAGGAACATTTCCAAAGCCATCCACAAAGCCAGGGTGCAGTTCCCTCCACTGCCAGTTCATCTGGTGCTGTTGGTTGGGGTGGTGGTGACTCAGGCCTTCACCTTGACGCAGGGGAAGCTGTGTACATAGACTTAGTGGAATGGCTTAGAAACAAGGTGCTCTGGAAGAAAACGCTTTTGAACCTAAGCTGCTTCTGTAAAATGGGACTGAACAGAACGCCACAGAACTCTGAGCCTCAGACCAAGCTCAGGGACAGAGCTTCATGGGTGTACCTTTGCTCCTTTTTCCTGCCAGGACATCCCCTGTGAGGCCTCCCAGTGTGGTCTGAGGATGACCGAGCCCCAGGGCCGGGAGCTAGAGGCTGAGTGTCCTGTCTGCTGGAACCCCTTCAACAACACGTTCCATACCCCCAAAGTGCTGGACTGCTGCCACTCCTTCTGTGTGGAATGCCTGGCCCACCTCAGCCTGGTGACTCCGGCCCGGCGCCGCTTGCTGTGCCCGCTCTGTCGCCAGCCCACCGTGCTGGCCTCAGGGCAGCCCGTCACTGACTTGCCCACGGACACTGCCATGCTAAGCCTGCTCCGCCTGGAGCCCCACCACGTCATCCTGGAGGGTCGGCAGCTCTGTCTCAAGGACCAGCCTAAGAGCCGCTACTTCCTGCGCCAGCCTCGGGTCTACACACTGGACCTAGGCGTCGAGTCTGGGAACCAGACTGCACCTTCCCAGGACACTGCCCCGGCCACCAGGCCTATGCCCATCCCCATCCCCAGCCACTATTCTCTGAGGGAGTGTTTCCGCCACCCTCAATTCCGCATCTTTGCCTACTTGATGGCTGTCATCCTCAGTGTCACTCTGCTGCTCATCTTTTCCGTCTTTTGGACCAAGCAGTTCCTTTGGGGCGTGGGCTGAGCACTCTGTTTCTGGAGGAGGAACCAGGCCTTTCTCAGTGGCTGCTGGGGCTGGGGATGCAGAGCCTCATTTGGTGTTGTCTTCCTTTGTAGTATTTTATGATCCAGAGATCGGTTAGGCCCTGTTTGCTTCTGGGAGCAGAGAAGGCCCTATCGTGGGTGCACGTGGGCGGGGTTGGGGGATGAAGCGAAGGGCTAGGAGGCATGAAGAGCTCTGAGTGTGAACCAGGGGTTGTATGGCTGTAGAGCCACATAGCAAGTTGTGCCAAAGGGCTGGACAATGGTATCCAGCGACCTGACTAGTCCAAATAGCAAGCCGTAGCTCTCCCTGGAGCTGTTTTGGACTCAGTTCATGTTTTTATTTTATTTGCTCTTTTCATTATGTGTTGCTAAAATGTTTGGAAAGTAGGTTTGAATTCTGTGAGAAAATGTGCTTGTCTCCCCTTTTCAGCTTTCTCCTTGGATGTCTTTCCACCAGTCCCAGTAAAAAACGGTCTGCATTCCTTAATTCCTTCATTTATTCATTCTACAACCATTAATTGGGCAGGTACTGAGTGCAGAAGGGAAGAAAAGTGTAAGATTACCCACTGGTGGCTGATGGCCCCCAGCAGCAGGGAAGACGCACCATCAGCTGCTTCTTACACAGGACAACCTCTTGTCAGCATGCAGTTCATGGAGTGTTGGGAGATAAGAGTCTAAAGGTGAAGAAGCCAAGATCAGTGGATTAGGAATCTGGGATTTGGGCTGGAGTTGTAGTTCAGTAGTGGAGCATTTGCCTAGCATGTGTGAGGCACTGGGTTTGATCCTCAGCACCACATAAAAATAAATTAAGGTATTGTGTCCATCTACAACTAATAAATAAATACATTTAAAATATTCTTAAAAAGAAAAGAAAAAGAATCTGGGATTTGGGGCTGTAGATGTTGCTCAGTGGGAAAGCACTTACCTAGAATTTGCAAGGCCCTGGATTCAATCCCCAGCATCATAAATAAGTAAATAAATATGGGTTTACAGGCTTTTATTCTCTCTGTGGGTGCAGAGGTCTGATTAGATGGTGCAGGGGTACAGCTCTGACTCCCTCCTGAAAGTACTGGGATTCTGGCCTCAGAAGGTAGGATGCAGCCCGGGACAGAGGCAAAACTTTATTCCCATCCCAGGCCTGCTGTGGGGGACCTATTTCTTACATGAAGAAACCAAGAACCCAGGAGCTAGAATTTGAAGCTAGAGCTGATGCCTTGCAGTGTCTAAAACCCTCATTTCTACTTTTCTAGTTTTAGTTTGCCTGGTGGCCCAGAGCTCTGAAACAATCCCAAAGTGGTTAACACACCATCACAATTACAAAAAGTTGACATTTTGAGTTTCTTTTAATTGGTGAAATAAACTGTCAGAACTTGAGTCAGTTTTATTTGGTCTAAATCATGTTCAGTTTAATGGAAGTATCCTCTATAAATCCTTGTTAAGGGTCTTAATGTACAAGGTATTCCAAAAGAGCCAAGAAATATATTTTTAGTAAAAACAACAGTTTTCAGCTCCAATTTGTAGAAAAATTCTCCATTACCAAACTGGAAAACTGCCTACGTAACCCGCCAGGGACTAGCAACCTCCTCTCCATTGGTGCCCTTCAGAGATAATTATACTGAGGCTGGGACTGCACCTCTCCCAGTTGAATTCATTTCTCTACTCATCTTTGCTCCGTAACTTTGCAGCAGGTAAGTTAGGCAATGATCTCACCATATTTTCCAAGATGGGTGGGCCAAAGTGGCTCAGGGCAGGGGACAGAGAGAGGAGCTGGGAAGAGCCAGGGAGGAGCATCTGCCTATTCACTAGGGCTTATGGGTCTAATTGTCATCCCCTAAAACCAAGACTGTGCCATTTTGGCTACCTTGTTCAAGGCCACTCAAAATAGAACTTATATTCTTGGAGTGGTAGATACACCACCAAATAAGACCTAATTTTGGGTTATTTTGGGTAGGGAAGGATATACCTAATATTATAGTGTCTTCTAGTTTCACATTCAGTAGCTCTAACCTTGGGGTAGTCCTGTCTTCTCAGGGAGGCATTTGGAAACATTGTGGGAGCACCTTTGGTATGCAATGAAGGGGGCGGGCTGTGCTTCTGCAATTTAGTGCAGAGAAGGACACTGAGACCTGCTGTTTCTTATGATGGTTCTATGCAAGGAAAGATCTATTTCAAAATGCAAACAGTTATCCTGTTGAGCAGTACCCAACAGGCTCCTGTGAAGTTCATGAGATAGAAGTGGGAAAACTGACTCCATATGGTGTGAAGTCAGAGATTAAGTCACTTGTGAACAGGGCAGTACACAAGGTGGAGTTAAAAAGATGATCCACAGAGGAAAAAGGTAATGCTGGCTGCACTGGACTTGTAGCCAGTGTGGCCAACCTACTCAAGAAAGCCTGTAGAATCTTTATAAGATGAAATGGTCAGACAGATTAAGGTTCAGATTCAGGTTTTATAACTTACTAGCTGGATAACTTTGGTGAGTCACTTCTTGGAGCTGCAGTTTTGCCTATAAAAAGGGAATAAGAAACTCATATGGTCATGAGGACTACGGAGATGTCTGAATGTGCTGGCACACTGATGAGGTAGGGAGTAAATGTTCTGCTCTGTGGTGGCCATGATGTTCAGCTCAGAATAATCATGAAATGCCACTCCTGGCTTTGTGTTTCTCTATTACTTTCTATAATGGTGTTTGAAGAAATGGATATTCTACCAGATATTTGTTCTATTAAAGGCTTAGATGAAATATTTTTAACCCAACCACCACCTCATGAACCACCACCAAAAAGCAAACAAACAGGTGAGTCCAAGGGAAAAATAAGATTTACACCTGAGAAACTGCAAACCACTGTTAGTGCGCCATGCCCAAGCTGCATGGGGTACACTCATGTTCATCATTTTACAAAAATGGTGATGGAAAGTTTTTTTCATGGCAAACTACAAAGAAAACAGAACTATTAAACAACAACTTAGGGCCGTGAGGACAGACCCAAGAATTCAGAGGCTTAACAACTGAACAGGATATGCATCGATTTGGTTATAAATGAAATCAGATTAAAAACAGCATGTTTAGCTATATATCACATATTCATAATTTGCAGGATAGAGCCAAAGCCACTCTCAACCTCTCTGGATGGGCCAATGAAAGGATTTTGAACATTAATGGAGAAACCATTATATTAGCCCTTATTTAATTCTTCCTTATTATGCTTTTCTTCCAAATTCCTCTTTTTATGTGAATTTACTAATTTCAGAGGCCAGAAAATATATTCCTGCGGTAAGAGGGTGAAGGCAATCACTACATGCCCAACTAGTAAGAATTACGGAGCCCACGCACAGTTTACTGGTGATAAGGCCAACAGTCCCCTATTAACAAAACTAAGAGTGCTGATTAAGGAGAAATTGTGCTAATTCATATCTGAAATGTTATAACCCAAACCAAAAAAAAGATACTCCTTGGACAAATGACTAGGGTTCAGAAAATGCTTAACTATAGAAAACAATTTTTAAAGGATAGTTTTTATGGTAGGATTTTACTCCTAGCAAGTGAGTAATAAAGAGAAAAAGGTTTATGTTTAGTAATGCCTATTAGGGATTTTTTTCCAGTTACTTCGACATGAAGTACCTTTTAATACACAAAGTACATCCTTTAAATAACCATAGCAAGGAGAGTGTACAAGAGAGACATCATGTTTGCTTTCTACAAATTTCTTTGAATCTTGACATAGTGGCCTTGCTTTAGGGTAGTATGAAGGATGTTAAGCTTCAAAGCAAGATGGAAGGCATTTTCTGATGAGGTGAGTGTTCAGTTCTCAGTTTCCTGATGCAGTTAGCATTCCAAGTGAACTTCACAGGAAGGGGTCAAAGCTTCAGTGTATAAACATCAGCATAACTGCTGTCCACTCCAGGGACTTGCCGTGAGACATTGTTCAACCAATATGTGGTGAGATGTGTCTCTTTCCTCAAGGACTTTCAGAATATAGTCCAGCTACCTTGCTCACTGGATCACATGCAGCCCTGAAGCACATACCATGTCATGGGAAGCCAAGTTTCAAGAATTAAAAATGCAGAGAGTAGTCACAATCCTGAGTGCTGAGAGCATTCAAAGAAAGACCAATAAAAAATGTCTAGGAGGTTCATGGATGGGCCTGAAGATGAGAATTTCATTTTCAACCACGAAAGGAGTTCACCATCACCTAAGGACTGGGCTGCCTCTTCGGAGTAGGCTGACGTGAAAATCCAAATCTACTGAGGGTCTATACATGGTAATTGGCAGAAAACATGATAGAACAAAACACATCAATTCTTTTCTTTTAAGGAAAATGGCTCCTAAGGGAGAGATTGGGGTTAGAGTCCTTCTTCCACGGTCTTGTCTATTCAGCCATCCAGAGCTTGAAGGTCCTGTCATATGAGCAGGTGGCTATAAGCTGTCCATCAGAAGAAATGTCTAGACCCATCACTTTGCCTTCATGGCCAGCCAAAGTCTTCAATGGGGACCAGCCTGGGTGGGTCCAGATCTTGGCTGTGTTATCATAGGCACCAGTGAGCAAGAAGTTCCCATGGATAGCTATTGGAGAAAAGAAAGGAATGTGCCTGAGAATTCATCAAATATTCAAGAGCTTACCAAAAAAACCCAAACAAACAAAAAACCAAAAACCACACACACAAAAAAACAAAAACCTGCCCAAACATACTATTTTGAAAAAGAAGGCATTTCTATTCCTAGAAAAACTAAAAACTCAACATATTGATTCTATGTTTTTTTTTTTTTTTTTTTGGTAAAGGGGATTGAACACAGGGGCACTTAAACACTGAGCCACATCCTCAGCCCTGTTCTGTATTTTATTTAGACACAGGGTCCACTGATTTGCTTAGCACTTTGCTTTTGCTGCAGCTGGCTTTGAACTGGTGATCCTCCTGCTCAGCCCCCTGAGCTGCTGGGATTACAGGCATGCACCACCACGCCAGGCCTGGTTCTATATTCTTAGGAGGCCTCCAGGAAAAAGGGACAACCACAGGCAGACTGAGAAGTGACAAAAGAATCTAGCTCTTTCCTTGGTAGACAAGATTAATATTACTTTTCAGAATATCCTTAGAATGTCCATGGAGAAAAGAATGAAGCAAAGCATTCACAAGTCTTTACTCTCATGGTTTGTTTTTTGGTTTTTTTTTTAAATTTTTAAGTGCTTTTATTTTTTAGTTGAAGATGAATACACTTATTTACTTCTATGTGGTGCTGAGGCTGGAACCCAGTGCCTCACACATGCTAGGCAAGTGCTCTACTGCTGAGCCACAACTCCAGCCCCACTTTCATGCTCTGCCATAGCTCTGCCCAGGGGTACAGCAGAGGAAGGAAATTGTAACTTGCTCCTCTAACAGAGGTCAAATTTTCCCCTGTTCTACTTCTAAGTTAAGCTTCAGCCTGGATTGCACTCCACTGATGTGCAGAACTTGTGTAGTGTTTACGCCTAAAACAGGAGGGAGGCTTACGTTCAAATTTGACTCCAGTCACTAAATTCTGATGGGCAGGGATGGTATACACGCAACGTCGTTGTCGGAGGTCCCACACTTTGCAAGTGTTGTCACCACTGCCAGTTGCAATGTGGTAGCTGTGGATCAGATGTAGTATGAAAGTTAGAAAACAGAGTAGTGACTGACCAAGCACCCTCTCCACCTCTCACTCAATGAGCTTATTTTACCCATTGGGGGAGAAATTTATTCCATAGATTTCCTTCAGGTGGCCTTCTAGGAACATGATACAACGTCCTGTGCGTAGGTCCCAAACACGACCAAATGCATCCAGTCCCCTGACAAAATAATATATAAATAAACACTTTGAATCCAGTTCTATGGGGAAGCAGGCACATCTAAGAGGTGACACTACTGAGCTGCCCCGGCTTTGTGAAAGAAGCCTTACCCAGTGCCAGCCAAAGAGCCATCTTGATGGAAGGCAATGTCATACACACCCATGCTGTGGCCTTCCTGATGCAGGATCTCTTCTTGAGCTTCCAAATCCCATAAGCGCCATGAACGGTCATAGCTAAGAAAAGGAAGAATTACACTAGCAATCAACCAGCAGGTTGATTTGGTTTCCACAATGTGCAAATTACTATCGTATCTGTGGCTTAACTTAATGGTTCCAAAACTGTTCTTTCAACCATGTGAGTAAGAAATTCCTTTCTGGAACAAATAATGCTTCAACAGCTAAGAACACCTGTCTTAGGCACTAACAGGGAAACCTTGAACTTGCTGTAAATCTACTCTAGTTAACTATTTTAAGAACAGAATTCCCTAAGAATGGCTCAGCAAAGGTTCTCTTGCCTATATTCTCTTTTCATTTTGTCATTATGTCTCATTATTTGTTGAACTTTGTATAT